ACTATTTAACCATTATTTCTATTCATCAAAAGAATTTTTAGTTTCAAATAAAAGAAAATTTAGAAAATTCAATATAAAATTGGATTTTTAAAAGTCTTACTTCTTGGTGTTGATTCATAAGAAGGATGACATTTTTTAACTTTCTTGTAAAAGAGTAAGTCATATTTGAAATAGTAATTAGTTGATTATTTAACCTTTCAAAGGATAAAGAGAATTTTGTTCTGAATAAAATTGAGAAATCTCTCCTTGAAAATTAAGCAGAAGTTTTTAGCAACACAGCTGATACTACATAATTAATTTTCATTGTCTAGAAAATATATTGACTATAGTCTCAAATAGAGGTATACATTTATAATTTGAATCATAATTCAAATGACTAAAGAAACTGACAAAATTTGTATATAAATGAAAGATTTTTAACCATCTCATCATTCTTTCACAGAAGAATAAATTAATATACTGAGCATATGTTCAAAGTTATTTATGGTTACACACAAATAAAAGCGTAAAACTACATAAGGTCAACTTTTTCATACCTTTTAAGGATTATTAATAGAGTAAATACTGGAAGACTAAGGAATTATATATAGTCTTTGGTTTTCTTCTATTTTATCCCCTACTTTGGTGCTCCTAAACTCATATTTATTTTTCTTTTAAATTATTTATTTATTTATTTATTATTTTACATCTCAGCCACAATTTTCATTTTGTCCTCTCTTCCCGGTCAATCTCCCTACCTCTCGCTGCTGGTCCCAATTCACTTCCAATCCACTCCTCCTCTGTTCCATGTAGGCTCCCTGCTTGTTGGTTCAGTCTCTGTGAGCCCCTATGACCATGGTTAGTTGCTTCTGTGACATTTCTTGTGGTGTCCTTGACCCCTGTGGTTCCTACAATCAGAGTTTAGGAGACTCCTGCAGAAGAAGGGAGAGAAATGATAAACTAGAAAATAGTTATTTTCTAATTATTAGATACATTCTTCATTTCACTTAGTATTTTCTTATTACCATGAGTACATTTTGAATGAGACTAAATGAACAATGCTTTTGGGAACAACCACAAAAGCTAGAAAACTTCTGTGAACGTGAATGAGTGATAGGTCAGTTTCATGTGGAGCATGAACTCTGCAATGAAGATTACTCCTCTCAGGGATATTACAAGAGAGAAATACAGTATTATTAACTTTAAAATACTGTATTTTTACAGATGGTTCATTTTGTAGAGGATTGATGCTGTTCAGAAACCATACATTTTATCCATTTAAAGAACATAATTCAAAGGTATTTTATGTTCAAAAAATTTTAAGTATCACCACAATTGATTTAAAATGGTTTTACTGCACCAGACCCTTCATCTTCAGTGACAAACATGCACTATTCTACTGTGTGTTTAAGAACTACACCTCATCTAAGGGAAATATTAATCTTTGTGGCATTTATGATTGCCTATTTATTTTATTTTACCATATTCTAGGGTTTATCAGTACTGAACTTCTTCTATTTGCAGAATCCATTTAATGATAAAATATTTACTCATATATTTCAGTTGATGTATATTTAAATTGTTAACACTTTTATAAATAATGCTTTGTAAACATTGTTAAGTAAGCCACTGGTTGCTTACAGTGCTCCATCTAGGTGTGCTGTCCTGTCAGATTCCCTCATTGACATCAGGATGCCAACTGGTTCTTGTCATTTTTCAGGACTTGCCCTAAGATTTCATGGATGTATTTCCCTGTCATATAGTGTGTAGCAATGCATTATGATGAAAATATCTATTATAATGTTGGAGACTGCAACTTTTCCTGAACCTTGCACCAGAATTAATAATACATCTTGAGCTTACTTAATACTTAAGAGTGCTCTCCTGCTGTACTACAACCTGTTTCTTTAATTTGACTTAGAGAACAATGTAGCAATTTATCTTAGTTTCTTCCTATGCAATCAAGTTTTATAGCTTATGCAAACTACGTACCCTTATGAACTTCTGGAAGTATCCCTCATTCTTTACTCATATGATGCTTTCTGTCCTGATCTACAAGAGAAAGAAAATAGCCCCTTGTTAGACAGACACACAGGGACAGACACAAGGACTGATTCACAAGACAACCTTTCGGCAGTCACAGACTGAGGCCCTTAAAATAGGTAAAAAGAAGATAGAAGACACAGAGAGAACAAATAAGAAAAGTCAAATCTGGCATCTACCTGGTTAAATGACACCAAAGAGGAATATAGCCCTTGGCTGTATTTCTTTAAGGTGCATCAATGCACCACTGGTGGGTCTGAAATTATTGCTAAGGTGTTCAAATCAACAGCAATATAAAAGGCACATTTTTGAAGCAGATACACTTATCCCATGGTTCTCACACAGTATCTGTTGCACCTTTTATAATACACCTTGCCTCAGGGGTAGAGGTCGCAACATAGGCTAATCATTATCTTCTAAGCAATAGACCCATTGTGATCAATTACCTCATCTAGGTGTTTCCAGTGGGCTGTTTAACTTTCCTGCCATGATGTACTCAACTAAATCCATCCTTAACTTGCTTTGTTGAAGTCATTTCATTCAGAAACAGGAAAAGATACAAATAAATGTGGTGAACAGGTTCTACACCATGTTCTGAGTTGTCCACTCTGTTTATATTCTTATCTATCCCAACTGAGGTTCAAAATTTCCCACCCTCATGGAAACCTTGTCTTCTATAGTTTCTTCATGATATAAAAGCCATAAATCTCATGAAGACCAACAAAATGGTATCTGGTTTTGATTTTACTTTCTTTGGTTAATCATCTGATTTAGTTTAGGCCTACATAATTGTCTGTTTATTAACCTAAAGTAAAGCAAACCAAATTACTCAGTATATATTAAAAATTCTTTCTACCATTGACATAATAAAGGTAACCACAGACCACTACTTATATTGTTCTTCTTTCTCCCAAAGTGATTGGTTTCACATGGCTATGAGCTATTTCAGAAATCTTAGTGTTATATCACATACAAATTGAATAATGATTGATTTTCACATATTCTGAAAAAATCCACATAATGAAGATTATTATATTATTCAATTTATTACTAAAACATTGAGTTTAAAATCACCTGAAAACTTATATATAAATAATTTAGCATAATATCATAATTGTATCATGTAGTAATAGGAGTGGCGGGGCTGCATCCCCGGCACCCTGGCCACCTGGCTAGCTTATGCCCCGAAATAACAACACACAAACTATATTCTTTTAAACACTGCCTGGCCCATTAGTTTCAGCCTCTTAACCCATTTCTAATAATCTATGTAGCACCGAGGTGTGCTTACCGGGAAAATTCTAGCCTACGTCCATCCTGGGCCGGAGCTTGATCACTTCTGCCTCAGAGAGCAGAGCTATCATGTCTGCCAGGGAGAGGGAAGCATGGCATCTCTGAGCTCACTTCCTCTTCCTACCAGCATTCTGTTCTGTTTACTCCACCCACCTATGTTCTATCCAATAAAATGGGCCAAGGCAGTTTCTTTATTTTTTTAACCAATGACCTTCCTCCATCAGTATCATGTAACAACTAGTAATGTTATAATGGTGTGAGAGGTCCTTCTGCCCATATGCAGCTTTCATTGGTTAATAAATAAATAAACTGCCCTGGTCTGTTGATAGGGCAGAGAACTTAGGTAGAGGGGAAGACAGAACTGAATTTTGGGAGGAAGAAAGCAGAGTCAGAGAGATGTCAGAGTAAGATATGCTGCTGAAACTTGTAGCATGTGGGCTTACTTGTTGGGGTTTCCTTTTTTTTTTTTTTTGTTTGTTTTTTTTGAGACAGGGTTTCTCTGTGGCTTTGGAGCCTGTCCTGGAACTAGCTCTGTAGACCAGGCTGGTCTCGAACTCACAGAGATCCACCTGCCTCTGCTTCCCAAGTGCTAAGATTAAAGGCGTGCACCACCTTGTTGGGGTTTCTGTCCTGCCCAGTTCCCATAACTGGCAAGTCCCCAAGAAAATCACCGAAAGTGAAGCATCCAAGGGTGGTGGAGAATTTATTATGTATAATGAATAAACAGAAAAGGTAGGCACAATACATACGTCATAAGACAACACAAAGTCTGAATAGTGTTGTAGACCAAGACTAACAATTGCTTTCCCCTTGCTGTAGCTGTATTAGAGAGTTGAAAGGGGATTTGGTATAAATGAGAGCTGAATAACATGTTTATTTTCAAAATTTTCCTTAGAAACAATTATGTAGAATGATATTTTAGGGATCAAGACAGAATAGCATAGAAGCCAAACGGAAGCCATGACCACTCTTTTCCAGGTTTGAAATCAAGTGGTAACTTGGTGAATGATGAAGACAGAACTGTAATGTGCTTCAGTGACAGAATAAATAGCCTTAAAGACAAGCAGGATGGACCCTTTCCCTCCTTCAAAGAGTAATGTTATTCAAAATATTGATTAATTTCATGCAGTACAAACTTGTGCTTACAGGACACATAATACAAGAAAATATACTTTAATATGAAGGGTTTTTTTGATGCTTAGTAAAATGCCTTGGTTCATCTGTTTTTTGAGTGTTCAATAAAATAAGAGTAAGGAAAAATATTTGATCCAACAAAAATAAATTAGTACTGCCACAATTGTGCCAAGAGTCATTGAAAAGGAATGCAGTAGCTAAAAGCAAACACTCCTCTATACAAGACGTGCCTGGTATTACATTGCTCTACAACCTGCAAACTATTTGAAGCTGCATCCTCACTCAAGCAGCTGACTAGAGGGTAGCCTTCAGCCTTGAAAAGAGGGTATCAACGAATAATTCTTCTAAAGCACCCACATGAGCTTCACAATGTTGTCAGTGGCATTCTGATGCAAACTGATGAGATCAGTTAATGCTACAATGAATCTCATTCCTCTAGAGAGTATAATAACTCGCTGTCTTGCTGTTTTGTTATAGCCATTATGCGAGTAAGTATCCTTTGTCCATTTTAGTTTGAATTTTAGAAATTTAAGGGAATAGACAGTCAATTATTACACTGATGAATGAGAATATTTTTAAGTGGCGAAACTGATCGAAAGAATTCTTACTGATGTATGCTGAATACTTTAATGCCATCCCTATCTACTTCATAAGCAAGCAATTTTCTCTTTATGCCTTAAAGGTACACTCAAGGATAATAGAATTAACAAGCATGAAAATGTATATAGGCACATGCAAATGAGGAGACATATACAATGAACAGTGACAACTATATTGTTCTTACTTTTTAATTGTGCTATTTTATTCTGAACATTATGAATGAATATAAAAAATTATACATAATTATCTATGAATGCAAATCAAATTATATAGGTGTATTTCTTAACATTCATGATAAAAAAGAGGGAGAAAATAGAAATTTCTTCAAATGTTATCACCTTCAAAATATTTTTTCTTGTTTTTGAAACAGAGTCTTTCTATGTAGTCCTTACTCTCCTGGGCAGTTCTATGTATGTCAGGCTGTCTGAAGACTCCCAGATATCCACTTACCTAAGTCTCTCAAATACTAGGCTTAGAGGTGTGGAACACCTTGCTGTCTCAAAATCCTTTCCGCAGCGTGAAAATGTTTTATTTTACATGATCCTCCTGTTCTGACTTTGTATCCTTGTATTTTGCATCAGTTAGCAGCATTGTTTTCCCTCTACTCTCCACAACCTGTTCCTCTATCTCCATACAAGGAAGAAATGATACATGCTAATTTCCATTATTTTCAAATGCTCACATAGTGTATTGTATGTTTGATTTGAAATCAAATTTTAAAATGTACTGAAACCTAATGAAAGAGAGGAAGAATGAGAAGTTGGGCTAGGGGAAAAAAAAGGAAGATACCAGACATGTGCTTTAACTATCTGAGCAATAGAGTTCTCTGCCAGGCCCCTCTCCCTCAGAAACGAGAAAAGCTGGCCTCCTCACCTCAACCCAAAAAAAGAAGCAGGGAAAGATTAGCCAAGTCAGAGGGGATGGACAAAACAAGGAGAACTTGTACCACCAGATCAGTTAAGCAGGGCCAAGATAGACTTATAGAGACTTAAGCAACAGTTACAGATATTGTATGAGTCTGAGACAGGTCCTCTGCATATATGTTTGGCTGTTAGCTTGGTGTTTTTGTGGAATTCTTAACACAAACTCTGAGGAAACCAAGTATGTCTCTGATTGTTTTGCCTGCTCTTGGGACTCTTGTCCTCCTTTAGGGTGCCTTGTTCAGTCTTGACAGGAGGGCTTTCACTTGTCAAATTAAATCTCATGTCCTGTTTGAATGTCATCTGTTGGAGGCCTGCTCTTTTATGAAGAGGAAATACAGTGGTGGTGGAGAGGGGACTGGAGAGGCAGGGGGAGGGGGGGGGGGGAGGGGGAGAGGGGGAGGGAAATGGGAGGCTGGGAGGAGGCAGGAATTTTTTTTTCAATAAAAATAAAAAAGAAATCAGAAAGGGGAGGCGGTGGCGGGAAGGAGGCAGAAATCTTAAATAAATAAATAAATAAACTTGCTGACACCATAAACAAACAAAAAAATTAGAATTATAACATCTCCTTGGAAATCATGTGGTTCAAAGTTCAGTTGATAGAGTGTGCATGTACATATACTTAGCTACTAAAAATTTAGTTATATATAAATTAATCATCTATATTATTATTATTGGAATTTCACATATTATAAAAAAATTAATTATGTTAACTTTATTAATGGTTAATTATTTTATACCCTATGTAGGACATGTACCATAAACAGTAAAAAACAAAGCCACCAACAAAGGAAGACTACTATAGTTACAGGCAAACATTATGTACAGATAGTCACTCAAACTATTTCTGTATTTTTTGGCACTCATATTTTATTATACCACAGCTAATATATTAGTTTATTATATAGCAAAAAATTTCTTCATAAAACATAGTGCTTAAAGTAAAGTAACATATCATCTACATTCCATTCCTTTGCATCTTCTGTCTGTGTTTTTTGTAGTTGTAAGGTCATAATGCCTCCATTCATTGCAATTATTTCCACTGCAATTATGTTTCA